GAGAAATATTCGAATGATACTATTTTTGCATAATCAATATTCATATTTAAATTCTGCTGTACATCGTAAACATTCTAAATACGCAGCCTCGAGCGGAAACGAGCCGGGTGGCCCGTCGAAATTCTACACAGAGCGTGACGTCGCGCGAATTTGCGTCTGCCAATTATCATTTCCGTGGAAAATACGTTCTTCTATCCACCAGTTGAAGTTTATGCACCATTTCCGCCGACCGATCGGGCTTTTCTCGACATCCGGTCGACGAACTTTCGAATTCCTTGGCGCGTTTCCCTTCATTAGATGCGCTTAAGTATTTCCACGCGGCCGGCTCGGTCGGTAATTATCGACGGAGCTCGAGGCGAGATGTTTCGCGGAGAACCGATCGAGATTAATTACACCAATGAGATCTGCGCGGTCAAATGAAATTTCGATAACGAACCGTCGCGACACGAGCGGAGAGGGTCTTTGCCCGATCAAGATTCAACCCTCTCGAGTTAACTTAACGCTTGATTCGTGGTCGAGACGCAATCTGAGAAGATGTACACCGTGCTCCAAAAATTCTTCGTTCCAACGGAATAAGAGGGAAATTTAAGTAAGAAAAATTATATTATTTGATTGACACGTGGAGATTTCATAAAGGTCAACTTTAATTTTTTAAATGAAACTAGATAATCCTGATTGTACCAATCGTATTACTCTATTTATGTCAAAAAATTATTACCGTATAAAAGAGAAGGAAAGCATAGATAGTAGAGTATCATTCGTGTTGTATAATAAATTTCAATCAAAAAGATATATCCAACCCCGCGAGCGAGATAATGACACAAGAAAACCAATGCCGGTTCAAAGTCGGCCATCGGGGGAGGGGGATCTTGGTGCACGTCGTGAGATTTACTGGATCGAGATTTCGAACCGTCAGACGAAGGGGAAAGCACGAAAGCAATTACCGTCGTTTCGGGAGGATCAACACGAACCGAAATTTAATTCGGTGCCATCACCGGCCTCTCCAGAGGCTTTGGATTTGGAAAAGTCGGTCGGCTTCGAAACTCTTTTTTTTTTTTTTTGCACGAGCCTATTATTTCCCGATAGATACCCGGCGTAATTACGCAAATGAATTGAAACTGAAGGAAAGAATCAACCGACGAATGATTCCGCGGCTCGACGCAATTACTTGGCCGGATAAGAGGAAATGGGGATACGAGGGCAGAGAATACGAGCGGGTTTCCGTCGGAAAGCGGAGCACCGCCCTCTGGGAAATACGTCTTGCATCACTGCCAGCGAGGAAATTTAATATCCGAATCGACGTTCGCGCCGGTTGACGCGAGCCTGTCTCTTTTCACTCCAGGCTATCCGGCCCCGCTTTGTCTCTCCTTTCTTACGCCCTTTATTTCGCTTATGCTCTATTGTGTACGTGTGCGTGTGTTTACCGTTAGATGTACAGGGTGTCGATATATTCGTGGATATATATGTATAACATTGGAAATTCTCTTCGATTCTTCAAAACAAACAGGAAAATGTCGGTTGAGATTTATTTAAGAGGTCTGCATGGAGTTTGAAGAAAGCTGAAGCGAAGAATTGTCAGTGGACAATATCTTTTGTGATTTTGAAAAAAGTGTTTGTCAGAAGGAACAAATTAATTCTTAGATTTCTAAGAGTTCACAATTTTATTTTAAAGTTAAAGAACGCGTAAAATGATATTTCAGATATACATCTGCAAGAGAGAAGGAAATATTTTAAGTTTAATAAATATTTTTATCTTTCGGAAAGATATTCGAAAAGAACGAAAAAGTCATAGAGTTAAGAAAAATTCTCTCCCATTTTGAGAAAATTCGATAGGATCGAAATCCTATTTCGTGGCAAGTTATCTTTTTGCTCTCGCGGCCGTTACTCGACGGAGCAAATTACTTTTCCCGATGAGAAAGATATCGCTTCCGGGCACTTGGCCACGCTACAAACACGAACAACAGTGGCCGCGATTAAGGCGTCGTTAACCGCGCTAACACGGTATATTTGATTGCTATCCGCAGCCATCTCTTTGTATCTGTTGGCAAAACGACGAAAATAAAGTTTTCCGCGATAATTTACTACGACATTCAGCCACGACGTTGGAGGAGATTGTTTGTAATTTGTATTCACGAAACGGAATGGGAGGTGGGGGAGTTTGAGAGGTTTCTTGGTAAGGCTAATCGCTCGGTTAACCTTTTCGTGGACAAAATATCCGTGACACCGTAGACTTCTATGGCTCCCAATGCTAGTTTAGAACGGTGTTCAAAGAGATATTTTTTACAAGTGATTTTTGATTGGATTATCATTAAAAATAACAGTTATTTTTTTACAAGTGAGAGAGCTATTATTTTATTATTGGTATAATGTAAATGTATTAAAAATATGCATTCTTTCATAGGAAAGATTAGATTAAGTATTAAGTTTAAATTATTATTATTGTTAAATTGAAATTTCTGATATTTTTTTTATTATATCCCTTTACATTTTATCGAAGTTTTTAAAATATATATAAATCCTTTAGATTAAACGATAAGACCATTAATGGATTTTCTTTATCTCATTAAATTTATCTTATATAAGGACGGATTAAAAAATAGTCGCGGATTATTTGACGTTTTACGAAGAGAAAATTCATC